GTGAAATTTACATCAAATAATGCAAACATGAAAGTTAAATTGTCGAACAGTTTGCAACATCAACTTGACATCCAAATATAGGACAGGTATTTCCAAAATGGAGGAGTCGAAGATGAATGTTTTATCCGCTCGGTTCTATGTCGACGCCGCACACTGATACCTTTTGCCGAGCACGCTGTATGCCGGGCACGCTGTATGCAGGGCATGCTACATGCAGGGTCGGCCTAATGATGCTCCCCGTAACGATGCAGCGCTGCTCCACGTCCCGCTCCCGTCCCGTCCTCGTCTTGTCCCGTTCCGTTCCGTTCCGTTCCGTTCCGTTCCGTTCCGTTCAGTTCAGTTCCTATCCCATCCCGTTTCGTTCCGTTCTGTTCTGTTCTGTTCTGCTCCGTTCCGTTCCGTTCCGTTCCGGTTCGCTCCGTTCCGTTCCGTTCCGCTCCGCTCCGCTCCGTTCAGTTCCGTTCCGTTCCGTTTCCGGTCAGGTTGCGCCACCATCGTTCGGATGAGTAAGACATGGACGCGTTCGGTCACACCGTTCCCGTTCGGTCACACCGCTTTCGGTCACACCGTCACACACGATAACCTGTGTCTGACGACCTTATCCCTGACCAGATCGGCTGATCCACGCCAGGTCAGCCGACTATGTTTGGATCGGCTGACCTGGCCGACCTCGGCGGTTTCTCAAGGCTCAGCAGCCGACGGCGCTCAGCTGCCTGGCTTTGCTCACGCCTCTGAATGATGCGTACGTACTCCATGCAAAACAAAAAAAACACAACACAAGCAGCACGATTTCGTTGGGAAGCACGCATATACACCAGTTTGCCATTGATGTGCAAACTGGACAGTATTTCCTGGGAACCATGCACATCCAACAGTTTGCCATGTGGTGCAAACTAGAACCGGCTTAACCAAGGCAGACCTGAGGTCAGAAACCGCCGCGTTTCCCTCGGGAGCTCAAAGACCTTGAGCAGACAAATCAGTTATAGCACCCGCAGACGCGGACTGTTGAATTCACATGAGCTTGGTCGTTGCACCGTTGTTCCAGTCAGCGCCGCTCGCGCACGGGCGCACCAAGGGGCCATAGCGGGAGGTGGCACAGGGGTGCACCCGGGCATGCCACAGCGGGAGGCAACGCTGGGGGTGGGGGAGGGAGCCAGGCACCACAGTGGGATGCGGCGAAGAGGCGGAGCCAGTCAATTGTTCGGTATAAAACCGCGTTCGTGTGGATCAGCTCGCTTCCGGAACACAGCGATCGCAGCTACGCCACGAAGCTTCCGCGGGGCATTGGTGGAGCACGGCGCGGCCAAACAGCAGTCGCTCGATCAGCAGACGCAACAGAACTGGCAATGGCCGGTGTCTGAATGTCGCACCATGTCCATCCGGCCCTCCCTGCACGTCACAGCTCAGCAGATCAGTCGGTGGCCAACTCCGTGGCCAACGGTCACCATACCGCACAGATCAAGAAAGGGCTTCTGAGCGTGGCATGGCTGCAGAGCCGTCGCGCTCACCGGGCTGGCGCCCCCTCCCTTCCCCCTACCCCCGTGGTATGGTCAGAGGAGCGCATCTGTTGCATGTGACGCCACTGGAAAAACCAATATAATGCAGCGATATTGACGTATTCAAACTTCTGGTGTTGAGTTTAACTTTAAAATCCTGCCCATCCAGATAGTTCTGTTGGTAAGAGGGTCAGTGTTTGCATTCAACAGTTGTGGCGGGCTGCTTTCAAGACGCTTTAGACACTCGATTGCTTTGCCCAGTTGATTGATTGCTTGATTGAAGCTTGATTGGTTAGAGCATCATGTTGGCATTCACCAGCTTCAGGCGGGACGGGTTCAAGGCCTTTAGACGCTTGCGTATTTACCCTCACTGGGATGACTTGCGACCAAGTAGCAGCGCTCGCGCTAAAAGTCAGGTGACGCCAGAGGGTAGAGCGAATAGTTGTAAATCGTTACGCTTTCGTAGCAAAATTCTGCCGTTAACTCGGAATTCCAAAATTGGATGGTAGGATCAGGGCTTAACAAGCGCCCGGGTGGCCGGTTGGATACCCTTCGCCCGGGTGAGGGGGTCCGTTTGAGCCCCCTGAGATCTCAGAAACTAAGCAATCTAGATACACCAAATTCTACTGGGTGTGTTGGGCTGTACGTGAACTCACCTGGGCCAAAGTTTGAGGTTCCTGGGTCAGGACCTTTGCGCCAAATAAGGTCCAACAAGGCCAAACTCCAGATTGGTGTAAAAAGTGCCCTCAGAATCTATATACCTGTTCTAAGTAGAACGCCACATGCTCGTTTAAGGTCAGTGACCTTGTCCGACCCCTCGAAGTTTGTGGCTGCCAAAATCACATCAGACTGCTTTGAGTTTTGCATTTGAATAAGCGACAACGATTACGCTAGTCAGTATGTTCCTAGACCAAAACAACGTTGACTTCGGTAGTTTTTGGTCAGCGATCTATTTTGACATTTAAGTGGCTGATGGAAAATGTATGATGAAGAACTTGCTAGGAATGGATTCGAAATGAGCAGCAGAAATTACCCCATACAGCGCACCCTAGAGTGATAAAACCGATCTTCATCTGACCATCATCCCCAACCCTAGGTTAATGAAATTTGTTCATTGAATTGTTGCATTGCCTAACAAAAATATCTCGGAGATGTGGGCTTCGTCTAACAAGCCGCTGTTGCATCAAAATAAGCGATTCCCTGGAACCTAGCTTTGCCGGATCAGTAACCGGACTTTGATCTGCCGTACGTCAGCGACATCACAAGGTAAATATATATTTGTAAATTGAATGACCTGCTGATCTGTTGGCTTCAGATTCGCACAAAGTTGGCGAGGCTACGCTGCACCGTTCGGAAACCATTCAGAAACAGAAACCTTTGGGTGGTCAAATTGACTCCACCAGAGCGTGTGTTAAACCAATTACTACTTGAGAGAAGTGATCGCTGATCCACGGGATTTGTTCACGCAAAAGGTCTGTAAAAAATATTTTTAAAATGGTAGTGAATTCATTTCACCTATTATTCAGAAATGTTCTGCATTATCAAAATTGTGCCGGGCGAGAAGTATGCAATGAAATAAAATCCCGCTCGGTTGTGTGAAATAAATGCCGCGGGAGAGAGAACGGGAACATCAGTCGCTCCGCAAAAACTGAAGCTGGGTGGACTACAGATTTTACTATCAGTGGGTATAGGATCCTCAGTCACTCTACGTTCCGAACGGGGGGGGGGGTGCCACATGTACCTAAAACAGTTAAGATTGGTTTGGCAGGGCCTACCTGGATCAAGAAGCCCGGAGACAAAAAAGAGCAAAACGAGCCCGGGGGCCCAAACCCCAAGGAGGCGGCAGGTCTGCTTGTCAGCTTCCTCTCCGACCACTGCCAGCGAGTTAGACCGCGCCCGTCGGACCCGTCGGAGAAATGGCGACACGTGACGGAAACAAACATCACCCGGCTGACGGCCTGTTCGGTCCGGTACTCAGATACGTCCTGACAACACATTCATGAAGAGTCGTAAACTGGACGTCCGCTAGACCGCTTGCCAACGCTTGCTTGTTGACTTGTTGTTTGTTAGCACCATGCATGACACCGACGGTACTCAAAATATCATCTTAACTGGAAACAAACGTGACCATGCTGATGTGCTGTTTGAGATGTTTGAACTGAAGCCCTGCCGGCAAGTTTTCGGGTTATGGGATGAAGGAGGGTGGGTTAAGGTGGCGCAGAACATCCCGCACCTGGGGTTCCATCCGCTGAGTCTCAGCCAGCTTAGGGACCCCTTCTGGTGATTTGTGCTCGGCGCTTGGGCGGGGGCCCCGCCAGGGGATACTTGGGCCCACTCGTGGCTGGTGCAGTTGTCCTGCTCCAGCCAACTGCACTATGAACGGGCTGTCACCATGATACAAGATTAAGCAAGAATGAGGAAAGTAGAGCGAGCTGATGGACGTTGCTGCTCCCTTCGGGGCATGCAGCCGGCGGCCCTCTGGTTCGGGTGTCAGCTGTTCAGTCAAAGCATGTCTGAACAGAATGTAGGTGTACGCTAATGAGACACATGAGCACAGCAGAACCAGACGTATCTGGGAACCAGAGGTTACAGGGTTTCATCTTCCCGCGCTGTCCGCCCTTCCTGCCAGGGTGAGCGGCGGGCAACGCCAGTAGCTGACCTCAGCAGCTGAGTGCGTCATGAAGTCTCTACCGCCACACGAAACAACGATATCACAACCTCTTGGCGCGCCAATGAATCTACGGCACAAAACATGCCAATAAGGTATCAATCACATCCCACGCATCCCACGTACCTAGGTGGCATCCCAAACACGAGCAATTGACAGCAACACATACAATTCAGAAAAGTACGCATGCCAGAACCTTCCGGCACATATTGCCACTGAGGTCGTCCTGAGCGTTGTTGGCGCCCAGTGTCGATACATCATTGGTGTCATTTCAGTACAAATACATTTCTGACCCCGCCCGTCCGCAACCGCTTCCTGACAGGCCGCAGTCACCAAGATCGATATGACCAGCATAGTGTTCTTATTGGGTTCCGTCGGAACACGCGAGATCCAGCTTGATCGAGCACTTGATGACACGGAGGATCTCTGCCAATGAAGCGCTGGAGCTGTTCCTCGTCTGCCTCGCGCCAGAAAGCAGTGCAGCGAAGCAGCACAGTGTAAAAGATGAGCTCCGTTCTAATCACCTCAGAGACATCTGTTTTGCGCCGCCCAGTTCGTTAGGGTGAGGCTAACGAGCTGCCGTCTTCCAGTTAATGCCAAAACATTGCTGGAGGCGACAGTAGCACCAGGTTATTCCAAAGGCAGCTTTCTGCCCGAATGATCAATATTCCTGTCTGCATCAGTCCGAAGGATATAGACTCTGATTGTCTGCTGTGCACTGTTTGAACTTCACGGTAGACACCACGAATGGAGTGCACCGTGAAGTCCAAGCAGTGCACGGCAGACACAATAAGACTTTATGTCCTTTGGGCTGTGGAGTCCACCGTGAAGTCCAATCACTGGTGGACTCCATTGGCAGAGTCCACGGTGGACGCCACTGGTGGAGTCCACTGGTGCATCCACTGGGGAGTCCCCAGCTTCAGCCGACTCTGCTCTGCGCCTGTTTTGTGTCTGACTGCCCGGTTGAGGGTGGCGGGATTGGGGGAGGGGACAGCCTGGTGGACCTACAGCGCAGAACAGGGCAGTGAATTTCACACTGCAGGGGCCTGCCTCCCATCCAGTGGAGGGAGGGGGAGGGGGCAGCTGGCGGCGGGACACCGTTCGCCACTATGGCCCGTGTCTCACGCCCCCGGCAGGCGTCCGTTGCGAGATGTCGTGGTCAGGCGCCTCATCTGTTCGGCATCCGACTTTGAACAGAAGCGGGGTGCCGCCGACAGGCAACAGGTGCGGTCAGCTTGGTGGACGGGCGCCCGGCGGCACTGGCGGCGGGCAGTGATGGTTGTGGAGGGGAGAGGCAGGGGTATCGGTGCAGGTACAGCTGCCGTGAAGGAGCACAAGTGTTGGCTGAGAACCACATGGAGGAGACAGTGGAGTCGACATTTGGAACGTGTTTTGAGCGCGTAAACTTCTTCGAACTGGAGTGTCTCTCGAGCCCGCGTCGGAGCGGTAGGACGATTTGTGAAAGAGCAGGCGTGGCCACCACCAGCTGTTCCATTCCTGCTGCTCTTTAGCGCACGAACAATACATGCTTAGACACGCCCGTCGCATTTTAAAGGAATCGTACCACCCGGAAAACAACTTGACAAATAGGTCGCGGCTCTCAGCATTACATCCAGACGCGCAACACATTGTTTTGATACCCGCTCTGTGTTACTCTGCAAAAATAGAAACCGTATCCGTAGCATTCCAAATTATGTAGCTCGATTCCAAATCACCTAACGGCTATTCATATACTAAGCAATGCTCGGAGGTGAAAAACGCCTGATCGATTACCTACAAATATCCATAATGCGCAAATTCACACTTCTGTGAGGTGCACTGAAAAAGATAAAAAGGATTGTTTCAGCACCGGGCCGATCCTAAAATGAGAGCTTTAACAGGAATCGTATGACGCATGTCGTAAGCCATCAAACGGGCCGGAGTCACGCGGCTATCAAGCCGCATCACCTTGTTACCCAGGAGTGGACATCCACCGCAATCTCAAGATCAGCACAAACTAGCCAAGACTACGTAGCGTCATTGCCTTCGGGCGCTGATATGTCCACTGCGCGAGATACACTCCACAGTTCTCGTAGAGTGCTGCTGGCGGCCACGCGGCACCACTAGCCGGCTGGCTGACAGCCGGCGACGAGAAGCGGGGAGGGCCACCGCTATTGGCTCCACCGCCATCGTCGAGGTCACGGTGTACGTGCATCTGGCGGCACTGGCGCTGACCAAGACAGAACTGAGCCTTCAGAGGCCTACAACACCCCTTGCCGTGATTACAGGCGCTGCTTCACATTAAAGCGAGTGCTGAGGTGAGAGGGACCCCCGGATGCACAGGCTGCAATGAACAATGCGGATGTTCTATATTTATGAATTTTGCAAGCAGTGTGCCGAAAGCAAGTCTTATATAGTGGCCTTGTCGTAATGACTTCCTCACAAATAACTCATAAACTCAAGCAACTTTTCCTTAGAGGCTTAAATAATACGCAGACTTAAGGTAAAGTGTAAAAATACTAAGCGTGACCTTGCTTTGATCCTGCTAGGTGGCTGAAGATCACGACGACTTGACGGAATGGCTTCAGTTATAATTTAAGCCCGTTTCTTTGATATGCAAATGCGCTGCACTGGCGCAGCAGGGGGTGAGCACTGAGTAAGTTGCTCCCGTCGATACGAGAGCACTGCAGCCAGCCAACCATGGGTGCATGTCAGGCCCGACAAAGCACGCGACATATGCCTCATATTACCCGAGCTATACCAGGCACCAGGACTTCGAGTCCGCCAGGATCGCTCACCCTCGCAGTGACGCTGACGCGCGCGTCAGGCACCAGGACTCCGAGTCCGTCAGGAGCGCTCACCCTCGCACCGACGCTGACGCGCGCGTCAGGCACCAGGACTCCGAGTCCGTCAGGAGCGCTCACCCTCGCACTGACGCTGGCGCGCGCGTCAGGCACCAGGACTCCGAGTCGGTCAGGAACGCTCACCCTCGCACTGACGCTGGCGCGCGCGTCAGGCACCAGGACTCCGAGTCGGTCAGGAGCGCTCACCCTCGCACTGACGCTCACGCGCGCGTCTCAGCGAGCAGCACCCCGGTGCGACGATCGTGACGGTCCCGTTGCAGTGTTGTCTGCGGCGCCGTGGCCCGCCGATGTGATGTATACATGCAGGCCTGCTCCGTGGCGTAAGGACCGCCGCCCCGGGGGTGCGGCTTAGCCGGCATCTACGCTGGGCAGCGCCGCGTTTGGAGTGATGGAACTGTGGGCCCGTATTCGACGCGCGTCGCTTCTGCCGCGCAGTGAGTCAGGCGTTGCTCACGGGCTGAGTCGATCGACGCCAGGATGTTTGTGTCAGCGAGGATATAGTGGCAATTACTTTTTTAAGGAACCTCATTTTTATCTTTTTTGGGCTTTTTATCGTGGGACAATTACTCCGTTGGCGTCGAAGCTGTTCGAGGTGCCTTGAACGTCCTGCTACCTCCTTGGAAAAATAAAACTATTTCCCCGTGTCCTATTGGGAACCAAGGCGATATTATCTAATACATCGCATTCGGCCACCGTCATCCCCGCAGTAAGACGCTCACGCCTGAACTACAAGGACGGAACTGGCGGCGTAGAAATGGCTGCTGACAAAAGGAGAGTATAGTCCAGGGAGAAGTGTACTCCGCTGAAATCTCCGCTGCGAGAACTCCGTGCTCCGCTGTTCCCCCCCCCCCCCCCCCCTACTCCATAACTACAGCCATGTAAATAAAGTTAAGCGCCTTTCCAGCCTAGGACGCAAGCTCGACTGTTCGCCAATACTGTTTTCGCGCGGTTTCTGCAAATTCCCCAGACACGACTCTATCAGCCAAGTGGAACTGGGCGGATGTTTTCGTCAATGGCTGGGACACTACGGTCGATTCCACACCATCACCACCCTCGGAATGGAACTGGATGGGTGTTGCCACCAATGGCTGAGTCAATTCAGTCGATTCCACGACACCATCGCCGCCCTCGGGCGAGCTGGAGGCTCCCGGAGAGCGGGATTTTTTAACAGGCTTTTCAGACATAGCAAGGTCCACGAGCGTCTAACTGGATTTGTGGACGGTGATCGCTTCACAGGCAATCGTCAGCTAACGGGTGATATCATTCTCGTCGTCTACTTGGCGCACCTGGAGAAGTTGATAACTTCGAGGCTCAGCGATGGTCGCTCGGGCTCCCCTGCCCGGCCTACGTAAACTATGCTGATGTTGGCAGGCAGGTCATGACCCAGGCATAGGACGTGAGACGGAAGGATAAACTGATGGATAATCTAATCGATTTGCACAGCTGGGACTGCTAAGTGATCTCATCATACCCACTTAAATATACTAAAATGAAAATAAAGGATGGCAATGTTTTTTAGAGAGTCTCGTCTTCGAAAGTCACTTTGGGACTTCCTACGCTGGAATTATGCGGAGGAGAGTTCTGGTGTGCTTTTTTTCAAAATAGGGGCATTTTTTGGGGCCAAACAGATCGAGATAGAACGGTACTCAAGATTAAACTACTCAAGCATGATGAGGCGGTATAAATATGCCATAAACACATAAACAAATGGGGACATGGCCATGTTATGCCGGGCGTTGTTCACGTACTATTCTAAGGGCTATTAGCTAAAATGCCGATTGGCACTGCATTTCACTTTGTTGTTAACTAAGGCGTATGTACCCTAACAGAGCCAGTGTCCTAGATTTATCAACTTTGGGTGCAAAACATCATCCTATAGGGAGGTTTTTTCACTCCTTTCCCCCACATTTCACGTAATTTTTTAACTCCTGACTGATATTGTGTAACCAGACATACCTTACCCATATTTCCCTTTCAGAGATTTTAGGACGTCTTCCAAGTCCGAGCTCACATGAAACCAACAAGGATAAACAAGGCGCCACAGAACCTGGACAACTATGGATATATTCAACCAGAACTACATCTGAATCATGCCTAGGCATGCACAGAGCAAGGGCGCCAGGTACCTTCAAGCCCGAGAGACCCAGCGACTCCATCCGCTTGTATTCATCATGGGTGGTAAAAGTGCTTTTTTTTTTTGCCCACTGAATTCCAGCAGACAAAATTGCCGCCAACAGCGCAACGCGGTGCCATATGACCAGAAATGACAGCGAAATTCTTGCCCAGCGGCGTAATCAGAAATCGGCGATCATCGAAAGTCTCCTTTATCACCGCAACTTGCAATATCGTGCCGAGAACCGAAATGATCATTATACACTGTCACCCAGCTTATGTCGGGATATCTGTTGCTGCGGAGAATGCAGGCACGCTGGCCTTACACAATGGGATAGTCTGATCGCGCATTCAGCCTCCTTGCACCCTCGGGTCTTGCCGTAGCCTCACGTTTAAGCTTGATCTACGACTGGATTTGTTACCCTCGACCGCGAAAAAAAACAGCAAAGGATCTCGACAGCCAGGGTAGCTGGGTACAGGAACATTTCCAGGCGGTGGAAGGTTACACTGGGGAATACAGAAAATGTGGTTTAGGAAATAAGTGAAAACTCCGCAAAAAAACGTGGGGGGGGGGAATTCAGTCAATGTCGGGGAGTCTATGCATCCTATTCGGTTGATATACGATGAACGCCTGCAATACGATAAAAACAAAACAAGGAGTACCCCTGTTCATGCATATTTTTTTGGCAAAACACGCTCAGGCTGAAAACCAGGGATGCATGGGCCCTATGCTCCTTTTAGAGCTCAAAACTATTTTCAGAGCACAGTACCAGCCAGACAGAAAATGTGTGAATTTGATGTTATAAAAGGTCGGCGACCAGGCCTTAACGTGTGCGTGGAACGCCGGGCACCTTTGGCTCTACATAACCTTAACTCATCATGTGAATGTGATATGTACCTTGATGTATGATGTGTGCTAGGTTGAAATCGTGTGCATGTGTCAGTGATGCATGACGCGTAATGCACTATGCCTGTTTATTCAGAATAGTTTGCATCTATAACTGATGCATGATCTATGATGCCTGTTAAGTTGAAGTCGCTTGTATATT